GGCAAAGAATTATAAGACCAGACTCAAAAAGATAACTTTGCTATTGTCAATGTGGAACAGATATCATTATCACTAATTGGTAAGGTAACAGTAGTTAAAAGTCTGGTGGTACCACAATTAGTTCATCTTTTTACATCATTGCCAAATCCGTCAAATGATTATTTCAATCAACTAAACAATCTAATTTTTTATTTCATTTGGAATGGAAAAAGAGCAAAGATCAGCAGAGAGACGCTTAGTCTTTCGCGGGAACAAGGGGATTGAATTTAATGAACACGGCAAGGTTTGCAAGCTCGTTAAAAACTGCTTGGGTTCAAAGGTCATTGTTAAACTGCTCACACCCGTGGAAAGCACGGCAATCTGATACGCCCAGGATTTGGGAAGCAGATTCTATGTTTATAAGAAATCTAAGACATAGCATATCGAATGATTTTTGGAAAAGTATTTTAGAAACGTGGGAACTTTGTATCTCCAGGAAAGGTAAATCAGACACTTTGGTACAACTCTCAAATGTGTATTGATAACTCCTATATTAAAAAGGAGGTTTGGCAGAGAAAGAATGTAGAGTATGTGAATGACTTGCTTACTGATGAGGGGAATTTGATGAATGTAACAGAGTTTATATATAAATATAATTTTCTACGACATACTCATGGACACAAATCATAGCACATTATTGAAAGTTCATAATAAATGGGACGATAAACTTGAAGTGCGGATAGAATCTGAACAATGGTCTTGCATACATGATTTACCTTTCCGCTGTACAAGTGATACTAAGCTACAAGCTTTTCAGTTCAAATTTTTACATCGGGCCATTCCGACTAACAAACAACTTTGTCAGTGGGGTCTGGTAGACTGTTCATTGTGTATCTTCTCCAATTATCAGGTTGAATCTTTAGAACATATTTTTTTACATGTACTTTCACTAGACAGTTTTAGGGGGGAATGTTTGTTCATGTGGAAAAAATGAACAAAAACTGCTATTAATTTATCAAATGTAGAAATTATGCTTGGTGTGGGTAACGAAAATACACTTGTATTAAATCATTTTATACTTTGCTGTAAATATATCTATTTATCACATAAGAACAGCTGTAAATCAGATTCCACTCAAGTTGAACTTTCTTTCAAAAAATACTTTGAAATAGAGCGCAGCTCGAAACCTGAAAACAGACATTTTTAATAGAAAATGGAATATTAGTGATTTTTAAAATTGTGTGCAATTAAGTTAAACTCAATGTAACACTGTCACTTTTCTGCTTTTTTCTGTCATTTCTTCATTGTCTTTTGTCCTTTTTTTAATGTATTAATTTCTGTTTTTCCCATTCGTTCCAGCTTCTTTGTTCTCCTTTTTTGTATTCGCAAATAAAGAAAACTATTTATTATTAACAAAAAAAATTGCATAACGATTCACTCAGTAAGAAGTTTGCTAATGCTCATGATTAAAATGACTGTAACAGTTCCAATATGGAGATCCCGTCATTACTTTTTTTCACCATGTTTCTTATTTATTATTTATGTACAGCCTTGCTAAATCTTACTAAGTATTCAAAAGGAGAGAATGTTTGTACCTATTTCCTATATTTTAAAATCGTCGAAATTTTAACATATTTTATTTGAATAATAAAAAACAAAAAAAACAAAACAATTTCACTCCCAAGTGCTCACGAACCTGCATCTATACCTTAAGTACAACTAATTTGATTTACAGTAGTTTTTCTGTGATTCAAATAATGTTCGATAATGAGGATTTGAATACTCTAGCATATTATTAAGCTCCTCTAAAAGTCAAATCATTAACTCGTTAGTTCTATTTATTCATAAGTGTTTTTAATCAAAGATCAAATTATAATAACCTAATAAGCTTGCATATATAAATATTAATATCCCATCACATTATATAGTGCTTATATTATCTATTGGCACCCTCTTCATCTATATTTTAATATATATTTCGTAATCTAAATTTATTTTTTGTCAACAATCTGTATGACAGTAATGGGCCGAGGGCCAGTAAACAATAAATAAATTATTATTATTATATAATGTTCGATAATGAAAATTATTC